ATTTGCCTTGGCAGAAGGGGTAGTGAGCAGGGCTTGTCTCTTAAAGACACAGGACAAGTCTGTAGCAGTTCATAACATTCCCATCTCTTTCTTATAATAAAATGTTATGGTTTAGATAAACACTGTGGTTCCTCCAAGGGGCGGCAGCAGCAGGCCATGAGGGACAGATGGGTCACACTGCCCAAAGCCTCTGTGGGTCCTGGGCAGGTGGGAAGCGGTGGGTGAGAGACCTCAACATATTGACAGGGCAGCTGGTGAGAGACAGAGATGGATAGGCATGCCATGCAGAGTGAGTATTTAGTGGGTTATGAAACTAAAGGGAAGGGGGGAGAGGGAGAGAAAGGGGGAAGAGGGAGAGAAGGAGAGAGGGAGGGAAAAAGAAGGAGAGAAAGAGAGGAAGGGAGAGAGAGAGATAGAGAGAGAGAAAGAAAGAAAGAAAAAGAAAGAAAGAAAGAAACAAACAAAGAAACAAAGAAACAAAAAAAGAAAGAAAGAAAGAGAAATGGGGAGGAGAGGAGAAGAGGCCTCAGCTACCTCTTCTGAAGGGGGGGGCATACAGAGAGCTCATAGGCTAGAAGATGAAGGAAGATCTGCTTGCCTCGGTGGAAGAGGGGAGTGGGTGGTATTTAGTCAAAAGTGAGATCCCAGCCCTCTAAGACCCCTAGAGTCTGGAATGTAATATTGAGTTAGACTCCAATTCCCAGCCTGCCAAGTGTTTGGACTCCAACTCCCAGCCTGACAAGCACTGACCCTTCCTTGAGAAGGGTCAGGACCACTCCCACGGGGCATTTAGACTTGCACCAGAAAAAGGAACATGTGATTTCAGGTTTGGGTAGGCTCCTCTCCCCACCATGCTGTCTCAGTACACCCAAGAGTGCCGCATTTATTAAATACGGGCATTTTAATTCAGACTAATCTGGTTTGATTGGAGTTCATTGTTGGCAGAGTGGCTTTTCTTACGATTAAACCAAACAGGTCGGACTTGTCTTTTAAAGGAACAGGACAGACCATTACAATACCTACAAACAATATGAATAAACCTCACAGATACTTTTAAATGAAAACTTTTTTATAGCAGTTAGTAATTAAACTCAGGGCATTGAGTATGGTAGGCACATGTTTTACCACTGATTTACCTTCACAACACTTCTTTATCTTTTTTCCACCCCTCTCTCTTTTCCTGTATTTATTTATTTGTAACAGTCTCATAAAGTTCAGTCTGATTATTAATAATCAAGAATGATCATCAATTTTTTTCTTCTCATTTTTATTGACATATACATATATATGATGAATTTTAATTGTTTATATCCCTCAATTCTCCCTTTATCCCTATCTCTCTCACTAAAACTTTTCTTCTCAACAAGTCCCCCTCCGACTTACATATCTTCTTTTTGTGTGACTTTAGCTAGAGTTGTTTGCCTGAGGTTATTTACTAGAGCATGGCCAACTAATCTCTAGCTACATCACTAAACAAAATGATACCCCTCCATGAACAACCATAAGTAGTCTCTCAGGGAGGGATGGAACATTTTGGGCCCTTTCCCATGCATGGTGAAATTTTGAAGGGTTCACAACAGCTACAATGAGTTTATGAATCTAATATCTATGCCATGTCTAGAAGACTGTGGTGAGTATACAGTAAATGGCTGGCAGATCTATTAGACTAATCCACGCGAAGTATATACGTACATGTCCACACAGAGAAACCTGTTCAGCAGAGCTGTGGGGACTTATCTTTTGGGAAAGTTACTGTTAAATTTGTTAAAACCCTGTGAAGTCATAATTCTTCCCTTCAAAATGGGATTCATTCCCAAAATATCCCAGCAGTATCACTTCTGTCCAGGCAAAAGAATGGCCTTCCATGAGGCCTTAGAGTGATAACATTCACTCTTTGTTTCAGCAGTCAAATCCACATAAACTCAATCCCTCACAATTATCTTTGCCAACAAATCATGTAGGAATTTCAAAAAAATAGGAAGACAGCATCTGGGTTTCAGGGACTTTTAATAACTTTATCTAGTGGTTTGGAATGTCAGGTATTTCCCCTTGGATGCTGGCCCCTCCTGGGTAGTGTCACCCCCTTCCTGGAGTGCTGCTTTATCTGGTTTTACCTGCCCATTTTGATTCTGAAATGCATATCATCATTGTCTTTGCCTATGGAATTTTTTAACCATATCTGTAAAAACTAAAAGCTTGGTGAAGATCACCCCCTTTTCTTCTTCTCTTTGCTTCTTTACCCAAAGGAATAAAGAACATGTAGAGGTAATGTACATGAGTTGATTTATTCTGTTTACCCTCAGATCCAATTAGCCAGGTTTTCACTTGCCATAGCAAATCTTAGCTGGACCTTGATGGGGTGCCGGGGCTGACACTCAAGGCCCTCAATAGAAGACATCTTTTTGCTGGACATTTCCTCAATCCTTTGGCTCTTACTTTCTCCCAACCCCTCTTCTGATATGTCCCTGAGCATTGCTGGGGAGCTACAGTTGTCTCACTTGAGGCTGAACACTCCAGCATCATTTATTTTCTGCACTTTAGCCAGAAACAACAGTATTATATTCCAACCTAGGGACAATGATGTCCCAAGCCTTGAGTTCTTAAACAAGGTTATAGATTCACCACTGTTGTACTAGGATCTACATCTTATCTGTTGTTATTGCAGCTTTCAGGTCTCATAGTTGAGTAATATTTACTCTTTCTTCTACCTCAGCAGCCTGCAAAACATCAGACCTTCAATTTCTGATCTGCCTGTCTCAATAACCTTAGTGCTGAGATTACAAGAGTGGGCTGCCATGCCTAGTTTTATGCATTTTGTTTTCTAAGATGGGGGACTCATGTCGCCAGTCTGGCCTTCATCTCCTGATCCTCTTATCTTCATCTCCTACCAGACCCAGTTTATACTTTCTTTTAGGGCTAAAGTTTATTTCAGTTGATGGGCATTGGGGTTATTTCTATCACTTGGCTATATTGTAAATGTTAACACACTGTTAATATGCATACTAGTATTTGACTTTGCTTTCAATTCTTTTAGGCATATACCTAGGAGTGGCAACTGGTTTTTGTTAAGAATCACCATTTTTGCAGTTGTACCATTTTAAGTTTTCACTAGCATTTTTTAATGTTTATATTTTGCAATATATTTTACTTATACATGTGTGTATCTCTCTACAGTTGTGCTTCTCACTTCTAGACAAAGCCACAAAACATTTGGTCTATTTTTTCCAGGGATCTCACAGAGACAAGGGGGGGGGAGAAGTTGGTGAAAAAGTGAGTCTGATCATTTGCACCCTTTAACCCTGTGTTTACTCATACCATTCTGATAAATGTGCCAAGTGTCTTGGGCTTTCATGACAGCGGCCGAGTGTCTACATTTAACTCTACTTTGCTACCTTCTCCTTGGAGCTGGCATCATATTGTAGACAGTACAAGCTCAATCTCACAGTACTACTTCAAATGCCAATTGCTTGTTGGCATTTACATTTGTCTGTTCACCTATCTATATATCAATAGTTCTAATATATCAATAGTTCCCAGAACACCTCATGCTGGGGAAATTGTGGTATAGCTCGCAGAAGTCAGGGAAGTTGACTTAACATTTCTCATTTATCCTAAGGGAACCAAGTAAGAAACAGCCCAACCAAAGTCATGTATGTGGTAACATGTGTTGGAAGATACCTGGCTTCCATTCCTTCCCAAGGACATGTGCTCAGTAGCACATCCACCAGAGGCTTTTTGAGCTTCAGAGTTGGAGGATGTCCCATTAAATTCATTAATCAGGCAATAATGAATGTCATCCCCACCCCCAATTCGTGTTGAAACTTGAGGTCAGAAGTGTAAAAGTAGTAAGACTTTAAGATTTCAGGGGATACTGGGGTAAAATAAGTGTGTTAACAAGTGAAAAAAACATGAACAGGGGATGGAGTTAGAAGAGTACCATGGTCAAAATATGTCCCCTTAAAAAATTCCTGTTGAGACTCAGTGTGAAATACTGAGGTAGGTCGGTAAGTAGGGTATTCAGAAGGTTGACTATGTCACAAGCACTGCATGCTTATGGACATTATAGATGGTTTTCTTTATGTGAAAATTGTGTTCAACTCTCTTGTATTTTTACCACATGAATAAACACCAAGAAGGTGGCTATCAGACAACAAATGTTGATGTCTTGGACTTATTCCCTGGAGTTGTTAAAAAAAATAGTCAAGTCTCAGGTGTTTTGTTATAGCCACATGAATGGACTAAGTGATAACTGAGCTGGGAGGAGATTGTAGTAATGGCTCAATGTACTTTGGAGGCATGGTTAGGATGCACACCTAATACTACAAATATAGAAAAAAAAGCATCACTTATTCAGTCAGAAGAACAGGGGGCATGAAGCTCCAACCCCCTATATCATGATGATTTGGCATCTAGCCACTTTCTAAGCTAACCAGGGCACCCCACTCCACCACCACTTATCAATTAGCATATAAAAGACTGACTTAGTGCTCTAGACTCTAGTGACCTTGGGTAGTCTTGTGTGAGGATAGCCAACTACAATAAAAGATGCTCCTAGCATCCCTATTATTCAGTAGAATACAAGGGCTTCAGACACTGTACATATGTCTGAATATGTATTTCTTGTTATATCACCATATTTGGCCATACTTAGAGCATCCATTCAGAATTGCTCTGTCACTTGGGAGAAGGAAATGAAACCTAGTGTATGAAACTCTTTCACATCTGTCTCTGCAGCCAACACTTTGTTTAGGGATAGGCAAACAACTTCACAGAATTTCAAAACACTCTCCTTTTGATAACTATCAAGATAGTTTTATAATTATGATTTTAATTAAATAAATTCATGCGGTAGAAGCCATTTATCACACTTAAAATGTTGTCAAATACCTGAATAAAGCCCCCCCTTAGAAGACCAGAGGCTTGGGAACACAATAGGGGATGGAATGAACTGGGATGTATGAAATATAACATCCCAAAGAACAGACAACACAATCTTTTATAAATTCTAAGTCATTAGCTTCATTTTTATTAAATTTAGCACAAGATGACAAAAACACATTATATTACCATCATTGGCAATTAGTTAATTACATAGACATTTATCTTTAAATCACTTTTACTCCTTTTCCATTTTTAAGCATATTAATGTAAAATACATGATTTCTTACTAAAAATCTCTAGTTTATATAACAATTAATAAATACCCCTTTAAAACTATTCCTCTAGTGAGAATTTTAGCTTCAATTTCTACTTTCTAAAAATATTCATAAGTGTAAATTTATTTACCAAAAGAGTAGCCAAATAACCCATATTATAAAACTTGTTTTTCTTCGAAGCAAGTTCCATTCTCTTCTTCCTCTCACCATGGAAAGTCATGCTTGAGCTCCTCAACTAAGCTCCTTCTCATTCCAACACAGTTGCTCTTCTGCTTTCAGAAGGGATGATCAGCAGTAGTGGACAGTCCAGTAAATTCTAGGCCGAGCTTTCAGGGAACTAATGACGGAGTGAGATGTTGAAACACATAAAATGTTCAAATTCTATTGAAACTGGAAAGTCCTTCATAAAAGTTTTGGGACAATGATGTAGGAAGAACAGAAGTAAACCAGGCTCCTGTGTAGATAGGAAAAAAAAAATGAGGAGAAATGGTGAGGTAGGGGAGCAGTGCGCTAAGGTGTTTTACTCTCTGTCAGCAATAACAAATAGAAAACATTTATGATAACACAGTCAGTCTTTAAAAGTTGAGGCAAGAAGAGGAAGGATGACATCACATCTTATCTTTGATCACTTCAGCTGACAAGGTTGATGAGACTATTTTGGATGAAATCACAATGAAACCATTAATTGCTAAGGTGATCAACTTCATGGAGGTCCTTTCGTCTATTCTTTTCAATGAGATAAGTCACACACTCATTTATGGCTCCTAGAAAAGTGACTCAGAAATATTAGAGATAAAATGTTGATAATGGAGAATCGCTTCCAGGTAGCCTGAAACCCAGCAGACAATGTAGCTGTTCCCTTATAAACACAGAAATCTACATTGTATGCCAGGTTCATGCCCCAGACCTGGATGTTCAACCTGCAAATCATTCAGATTATTTCAATGTAAATGACTGTTTTAACCAAGATGTTAACATTGATATCTGTCTTATTTACCACAAATAAAATAAAACAGAAGTAAAATTTACTGTGATTTACTTATAGGTGAAATTTCTTCAAATAATGCTATTGGCTGTCATTCATTATGTAATCTTTAACATGCCCTTTAAAGGTCAAAAGATATATGGAAGTACAGGCAGGGAGATAGAAGGATATAATGTTAGGTATATGATACACAGATAGCTGAATAGAAAAGTGTATCTTCATGGAGGATAAGGAGGAAAACACAGAGGCCTCACCAGTCATAAAACTCTTGAAATACAATGAATTTTCAGATAAATGAATTTTTCAGATAAAGCTATCATTTCATTAACCTTGTTCTGGGTATCATAACTGACGCTAAATGATGCCACCAGAGACCCAGTAGCCAGATGTAGCTGCTGATTACCAAAGACAGGATCTACACTGGTTACTGAGCCACAGAGAGCACCCTTTTGAGAGCTGGACAGTTTGTGGCCTTCTTAGAAGAAAATCTGTGGAAGAAAAGATGTCAGTTACAGAAATTAATAAATCAATACCAAGAGTTTTCAGTTGAATATTTTTCTTGGGTTGTAAAAATATGTAGCTCTTAACTACCTTTAGATTCACTTACTAAATGTCTAAAACATAAAATTATTAAAATGTAACCATTGCAATAATATTCAAAGTAGCACCTCATCTGTTTGTCATTTCCAAGCTGTTCTCCTACAAGAGAATACAGGTCTAAATTACTAGCTAGTTTCTTATTGATCCAGCCATTCATTTATCTTTCTAAAAAATACTTATTAGGACCCTTTTCTGTATTTTAGTCCAGGACCCGAAGATACAATATTGAAAAACAGATCGCTGACTCTTAGAACTGAGAATTAAAACAATAAGGGTAGAGAAAAACAAGAAAAGAATCCAGCACAAATGCAGCTAGTTCATAGAATAATAAATAGTTGAAATCAGTGGTACTGTTTCTAAGGTAGCTGAGCAGTGACTGACTGGAAGAGAGGCATACATACATATAGAGAAAGGGCCCTGGGGCAGTGTGTGTGTGTGTGTGTGTGTGTGTGTGTGTGAGAGAGAGAGAGAGACAGAGACAGAGACAGAAACAGAGACAGAGAGACAGAGACAGAGAGAAAGAGAAAGAAAGAAAGAGGCAAGTGTCTAAGGCATCAGGGCAGGAAACGATCCAATGATTTGAAGTAAGGCACTCTATCTCTGCTTTTGATCACAGGCAATCACTGTTTTCTACATTTAAGGTCATTATCAAATGTAAATATAAGCACATGCACCCTAGAGTCCTGCCTCTTTTTTTATTTTAATAATCTGCAGCATTCATTTAGAAAGATGTAGGAGGGTTCTCATCAGGAAGAAAGCTCTCAAAGGCTTACAACTTTCAAATAATGCAAGTTCAATGGACATGCAGCTGGACTACAGAATGATAGTCAAATACATGGACAACCCAAAACAGTGGCTTACTACAATACTGTTAATAGTAAGGAAACACAAGCAGCTTTCTGGAACCCACAGTGTACTTGGCTCTTTTTGGGAGGACAGCTAGGATTGACAAGGGAAGTAGGCTTTTGTTTGATTGCTTTTTCCCCTTTTAATAATTATAAACTAACTTTATCTATTAGTTGTATTTTAATACTCTTGTATTCTACAAAGGAGCACGCATGAGATAGGGGAAAAATGAGCACTTGCTCAGTTTTTGGCAGGCTCTTACCCTTACTATAATATAAAGCATTTATAGAGACACAAACACACATCTCATAACACTCTACAAGCGTTCCTAAATCACCTTTTATAGAAAAAGCTTCCAGAGCTTAGTTTGGTTAGTTCCAATGCCAAGGTTAAGCAGATGTTTATTTACACATCTTAGTCCATCTTAGCTACAATCTGTAGACCCAGAGAGGTTAGATATGGAGGAAAGGATGGGATGGGGGGGATGGGGAGGGAGTTATATGGATCTCCCTGGGAGGGGGAAACAATAGATTTTATGGGTGCAATGGGAGGATCAGGTGGTTGAGGGGAGGAAGGGTTGAGGGAGGGAATTTGGGTGGTCTAGAAACCTAGTGCAGTGGAAAGTTTCTAATGAATAATGGGGGAGAGTCCCAACTGGCTATATCACCAAATGAAGATTCCACTATTGGACTGGGTTACATCCAATTGAGGTGTTGGCCAAAGGGGTCCCATGGAAAACTCCAAAAAATCCAACCCGTTGCAAAGAATATAGGTTGTTCACCACAAACAGATAGAAAGGTCCATTGCTGAACACAAAACTCATACAACTCATTGAAGATGGAGAGGATCGAGCTGTTGCCTACATAGAACTCCAATACTCTGGTGTATACGACACAGAAAGATATTCTGCAGGCTATCAAAAGAGAAATCCAAACACTAACGCAGCCACAAAACCTTTGATCTACAATCTGTCCTGTGTGTAAAATACATGTTAGGGCAATGCTGCTACAAAGCTTGTGGAAATGAACATCAACGCCTGATTTGACTTAAGATCCATTCTAGGAGATGGAACCTGTGCCTAATACTGCTTGAGTGATCGAGAACCAGAGACTAGATAAGCCAGACTTAGGGTAAAACAAAATATTACTAGTCTGTTTTAAAGTACTGATAAAATGACTCAGTGATAATCTGCTATATTCAGGTATTCAGCCATGACAGAAGTTTTCTCCTACAGCAGACAGAAACTAATACAGAGACCAACAGCCAGACAGGGAGAGACCTCAGAACATACAGCTCTAATGGGTTGTCTCCAATAAATTCCTCCCTCCCCTCAGAGCTCAGGGAACCTCATGGGAGAGGAGGCAGGAAGAGTGTAAGGGCCAGAGAGGATGGAGGACACCAGGAAAACAAGGCCCTTTAAATCAACTGAGCAAAGATTACAGTAAGCACAGGGCTCAGTACTAGGTAGGTCCTCTGCATATATATTATATCTTTCAGTTTAGTATTTTTAAGGGACTCTTGAATGTGTGAATGAGTGGGTTTCTGATTCATTTGCTTTCCTTTGGGGCTCTTTTTATTCTGTTGGTTTGCCTTGTCCAACTTTGATGTGATGGTTTTTGTTTTATTTATTTTGTCAAGCTTGGTCATTATCTTTTAGAAGCCTGTTTTTTTTTTTTTCTAATGGGAGACAGAAAGAGTGAGTCTGAATGAAAGGGGATGTGGGGAGGAACTGGGAGACAGATGGATAGATAACTAATTAGAATATATTGTATGAAAAAATAATCTGTTTTCAATTAAAGGAAAAAATTGGAGGGGAGAGCATGGAGGTGTATCTATTACTATCTAACAATAAAATTATTCAAAATGTAATTAGTCCTATTGTGCTTAAAATTTCAAACAAAGGATGGTAAATTTTTTTTCCTTTAAATTCATACAGGCAATGCACGATAAACTATAAATAAAACTACTCAAGTTTATTTCATGAGTAACTAACCACTAACAAATGTAAAAGTGAACAGAGTGTAGAATTTTATGTAACAGTACATTTTAAAAGTTCATAAAATTCAAAGAGAATAAACATTATTAAACTACAAAGTCAAGTTACATAACATTATTACCTAATAATTAAACCCCGTATGAGAAAAAACTGTAATCAAGGGATCCACCGCCTGAATCCAACTCACACCACAAAGAGACAAAACACAAACAATTAATACACAAAAGTCTCCATTCTGGCTGAAGACCATTAGTTTGTGGTGGGAAAAGAGAATTTAAATGGAGACAAAGACTCACAGAAAGCCTGTTTGGAACCCTATTACTTGCAGTTACCCTAGCATTTGAAAAGCCTACACTCCACAATTAAACAGGAGCAACCTACAAGCTGAACTAAAGGCGAAGTTGCCAGATAGAACACTAACTACACTTCCAAAGTTTCCCTAGAAATGAAACAAATACTGCTTGGAGGGTCATTCAACTAAAACGAGAATAGAATCACTCAACCTCTTTTGAAAGTTTCTTTCCTCAGGCAATTCTATTTTGCCTTCAAAAAGTGTCTCCAACTTTAGAAATGACAGCTCTGGGAAGAAATTTTGATCCTGAAGACTATATGGAAAATAAGTGCAGAAGGACCAGCTACTAGCACAGCACTGGCAGAATGAGACTTTGAAAGTGTTCAAAGGACTTTTTAAAACTTAAAAAAGAGCTTCTAAACACTTTTTAGTTCTGTGATTTTTCTAATCCTAGTAGGTTTGTCCCACATATCTGTGTCCAGAAGCCACCTTAGTGGCATGTCACATGTAGCATATGTGCTTCCAGCCTTCCATTAACTAAAGAATGCAGTCAATTTCTGTCCTGAACACATTGATGGCCCTGAAAGAGAAGTCAGTCCAGTCGTTAATTTAAAAGTGAATAAAAATGTCTCTCACTAGATGGGCTTTATATTAAATGTTCTTTAAAAAATAGACATATACAAGGTGAAGGGGGACAGACAAAGGGACAGAGAGGGAGAGAAACAAACTTGATTA